GGAAAATAATGTGTTTTTTTAACCTTAAACCGCATAAACACATTTCATTACACCAAATACACAAAATAATGTTCTTTTTAGCAGCATCATATGACCCCTTTAAAGTTCTTCACTGAATCACAGATGCCATAATTAAAGGGTTAGTTCACCCAAAAATGAAAATTCTGTCATTAATTACTCACCCTCGTGTCGTTCCAAACCCGTAAGACCTTCGTTCGTCTTCGGAACACAAATTAAGATACTTTTGATAAAATCTGAGAGCTCTCTGACCCTCCGTAGACAGCATTAGCCGCGTTTCCACTGTCGGGCCAAAAGCGGGCGTGCTAGTGCGTGCCAGGGCCAGTTGCGTTTCCACTGTCACTTCCGGGGCTTGATCGTGCCTCGTCGGTGCTTCCTCAGGGCCAACGGCCCGGGTTTTTTGGGCCGACGAAAACCTTGGGCCAAAGTGGGCCAGCTGGGGCTAGGGGAGTGGTTATGAACAAAGGCGGAGTTTCTCCGCATCTGGAGAGCGTCTCGAGAGTTTAGCTCCACGTATGTCATAAAAATATAATAATGGTTTTTGTTCGGGAGCTTTTATAAAAATATAGAAATGAAGATGTATAGGCTATAGGATACGGTGACTACAAATAAACAAAAAAAAGACTCGACTGAATAAGTAGGTAGGCTATGTTCATACCGCTTTATTTCTGTGTGACTAATTTGCAATCCTGATAAATTAACTCATTATGATCAAATCCAAAAGCATCAAATCGATGCTTTTGGATTTAAATCTTTAACAAAGCATGCAAACAAACGGCCGCTTTTATCATGTTCGTTTTGTGCTCGCGCTAGTTCCAGTGACTTATTTCTTATTAGTTTTCTGATAAGGGGCAGCGGAGCTTCTGGCCCGACAGTGGAAACACAGCGTGATTTTGGACTCGGTGCTACAGGTCCGAGGCTATTAGCCCCGCCCGGCCCGTTTAAAGCACTGGCTCGCACTGGCCCGTCAGTGGAAAAGTGGCTAATGCAACTGCAATGTTCTCGGTTTCAGAAACGTAGCAAGGACATCGGTAAAATAGTCCATGTGACATCAGTGGTTCAACCATGAACGTAAACAACGCTGATTACGTTGATTACGTTTTGGGGTACTCTCCAAAATGGCGGAAGACGGTAACTCGGGGAGAAGAATTGTTGAATAAATTATGTTATTGTTTTCTTTGCACACAAAAAGTATTCTCGTAGCTTCGTAAAATTACGGTTGAACCACTGATGTCACATGGA